TATAGTCTACATCTACCAATCACCTAACCCTATGTGGCGCGCCAGGATAGGTTGTCTCCAAGCAGAATTAAGAGGATACATGACCTTTACCATATTTGGAGTTGTTTACTACAGAGAGCGCTCGCTGTCGGGCTGGCGGAAGGCGGAAACCGGCGCCATCTTTTGGGTGCGGTTTTCTGCAGCTCCCTACAACATGGTATGTACTCACTCATATATGGATTTTAGACATAGAGCAAAAGATTACCAGTCTACAATCCAAACTACCAGAGAAGCTAAGAAACAAGGAGGACTCTAAGAGAGATATATATGGTTCCCCAGAGAAGGGGAAAGGAACAAGATCTCCCAAGCTAATGAAGAACATGGCAGGAGGAGAGAGAGAGTTAAAAGAAAGAGAATGGAAGAAGAGGAGGGGAGAGGAGGACAAGAGAGAGCAGATATAGTCATCTGAAGAATAGAGGAGAGCAAGAAAAGAGATGCCATAATAGAGGGAGCCATTATAGGTTTAAAGAGAAATCTGGTACTAGAGGAATGTTGAGAGATCTAAAAGGTTGATCACTTCTATTAATCTAAGCAATAGTGGAGAGGCTACCTTAAAAGCCCTTCTCCAGTAATGAGATTGATGACTACCTTATATGCCCTTCCTCTAGGTGCAGATGGCATGTATGGCTCCCCTTTTCACTGATACAGTAGGAAGATGGTTGTGTGGGGATGTGGAGAGAATGCTGCTGTCTAGACACTGGGGCTGCAGTAGATTGGTTGGGGCATGGTATGTAACCCTGCTGCCTACGGGATAGAGAGCAAGGTTGACAGGTTGGGAGCTCAGACACTCCTCTCTTCCTCCAGTTGTAGGTGGGTTATGTGGAGGTGTGAAGAATTTAATGTGTTAATGACTGAGTTCAAGGATAGAAGTTACTGAGGAAATGACTTCTCTGTCTAATTAGTACTAACAGTATTTAGCCCACACATATTGAATAACTATGGCTACTGCTCAGCTGAAGGTTCATCGAGGATGAAACATGCTTCTTATGCAATATTCAGAAGCAACTGTGAGCAATATCTTTAAGGAGCATGGATTCTGCTGTGTGTGTGTGTGTGTGTGTGTGTGTGTGTGTGTGTGTGTGTGTGTGTGATGTGGTATCTGTGTATATTCCTTTTTCCTTATTGCTGTATTCATGATTGGTCATCTTTTCCCTTAGATATAACATGTAGTGAGAATATCTTCATGGCAAATTTCCCAGCATCATGGTCTCAAGCAGTACAAAAATGGTACAGTGAATCCAATGATTTCAGGTTTGGTTCAGGCCCAAGAACATCTGATGCTCTAGTTGCACAATATACTCAGGTAAGAAAAGGTACTCTCTGTAAGTGCTAGGCAAGGAAATATTTTTTATTACTTGACAGATTTGAAAGCAGAATTGCAGTGCAGAGAATTTTTATTTTTATTTTTTACATTTTTTGAGACAGGATTTCACTGCTTATCTCAGACTGGCTTTAACTCCCTATCTTCCTATCACAGTCTCCAAATTATTATTATTTTGATGATATTACACTATATACGAGATGCTGTAAGTTCCAACAGAAAAATTAGAGAATATCAGCATTTTAGAAAAATAGGACACAAAGTTACTTTCAAATATTAGTAGCCTTTCCATATAGTCATAATAAACAGACTGAGAGTCATAAGAACAGTATCATTTACAAAAGCCTCAAAAACAAACAACAAAATTCTAGGAGAAAACTAACACAGTGAAAAACCTTGACAATAAAAACTTTAAATCTTTAAAGGAGGTGGGGAAGACTCTAGAATACGGAATGACCCCACAACACACACAAACACACATTCACAGATTTGTAGAATTAATATTGTGAAAGTGATTATCCTGCTTAAAGCGATTTACAGATTCAAAGCAATCCCAATTAAAATATCCATAACAGTCATCATGGAAATAGAAAAACGAACCTACTTTTTTTTTTTTTTTTTTTTTTTTTTTGGTTTTTCGAGACAGGGTTTCCTCTGTGGCTTTGGAGGCTGTCCAGGAACTAGCTCTTGTAGACCAGGCTGGTCTGGAACTCACAGAGATCCACCTGCCTCTGCCTCCCAAGTGCTGGGATTAAAGAGGTGCACCACCAACGCCTGGCCGAACCTACAAAAATTATTGTGGAAACTCCAAAGACCCCAGACAGCCTAAGCAATCCTGAGGAAAAAGAGCAACCTGGAGAGATATCATAGTAGTTTCACTACTTAGCCAGCCTTATAAATATGCTTTTGAAAATTTTTTCCTTAGTCATTTTCATTTTTGATAGAACACGTCAACTCAAGAAAACACATTTTATACTTGATTTCTAAATCATACAAGGAGTAAGCTAAAGAAAGAAGAAAGAAAAAAAGGGACAATATCATAACTCCTGAATTCTGAAAAATAAAAATTGATGTTCCACTTGCTAGACTCCTGTACTATTTTCCTTCAGGAAGCAACAAGATTTCTTTCACCAAAGCCTAAAAATAAATAATTTAAAAAAACATGGTAAGAAAAATCATGATTACTACACAAAACAAGAATATGTCACACCAAACTATGACCTCAGCAGAAATATTTATCAAGGATAGTACATACATCTTATGCTACCCTGAATAAAACGCAAACAAACAAAAACAACAACAAACCTTGCTTTCAAATTTTCATCATTTGCATTGCTGAGGAGCCTATTCAGTAATATAATTGGAGATTGGATGTGGGAAAGGGTTATATAGGTTTTTTTGGTATTCTTAAGTTTGGTTATGCGTTTTACTTTCTTAAGAATAAAATAGATTTGAAAGGGGATGTGGAAACAAGAACCAAGAGGAAAAAAATCTGGCCTTTCAGCACTTCTTAGAAGGTGTTTTAATTCTCCATCTTTAGTGTCCCGCTGTATTTCACTGTTTAGTATTCTAGGATGGCAGTTTGAGTCTGTACCTGGCAAAAACTTCCAAATCAAGATAGACAGGATCGTGGACCAATCATAGAGCAGAATTTCCTTTCACTGTCTATCACTGGCTGTTGTTCAGGAGACGGGGTGGGGTAAAGACTGAAGCGTTAAAAATCACCACCTCGCCAGCCCTCTAGCAGCAGTAAAGGGGTTGTTCAACATACCATCAATATGTCTCTTTCTAGTAAGTTGACTCTGGACAAAGTAGATGTTAAGGGGAAAAGAGTCATCATGAGAGTAGACTTCAATGTCCCCATGAAGGACAACCATATCACAAACAATCAAAGAATCAAGGCTGCCATCCCCAGCATCAAACATTGTCTGGATAAGGGAGCAAAGTCCGTAGTCCTCATGAGTCACCTCGGCCGGCCTGATGGTGTGCCTATGCCAGAAAAATATTCTTTGGAGCCTGTTGCTGCTGAGCTCAAATCCATGCTGGGCAAGAATGTTTTGTTCCTAAAGGACTGTGTGGGCTCTGAAGTAGAGAAAGCCTGTGCCAACCCAGATACCGGGTCTGTCATCCTGCTGGAGAACCTGCGCTTCCATGTGGAAGAAGAAGGCAAAGGCGTGGATTCTTCTGGAAAAAAGATCAGCGCTGACCCGGCTAAAGTAGAAGCTTTCCGAGCATCACTGTCCAAACTCGGTGATGTCTACGTCAATGATGCTTTCGGCACTGCACATAGGGCTCACAGTTCCATGGTGGGGGTAAATTTGCCCCAGAAGGCATCTGGGTTTCTCATGAAGAAGGAGCTAGATTACTTTGCCAAGGTCTTAGAAAACCCGGAGAGACCCTTCCTGGCTATCCTTGGTGGAGCCAAAGTGTCAGACAAGATCCAACTCATCAAAAACATGTTAGACAAAGTCAATTTCATGATTATTGGAGGTGGGATGGCTTACACCTTCCTAAAGGAACTAAAAAACATGCAGATTGGTGATTCCTTGTTTGATGAAGAGGGAGCAAAGATTGTCAAAGAAATCATGGCCAAAGCAGAAAAGAACGGTGTAAAGATAACCTTCCCTGTTGATTTTGTAACTGCAGACAAGTTTGAGGAAAATGCAAAAGTGGGAGAAGCCACTCTGGAGTCTGGCATACCAGCCGGCTGGATGGGCTTGGACTGTGGCCCCGAGAGCATTAAAAACAATGCTCAAATTGTGGCTCAAGCAAAGCTTATTATCTGGAATGGACCCATGGGCGTGTTTGAATGGGAAGCCTTTGCTAAAGGAACCAAAGCCCTCATGGATGAAGTTGTAAAGGCCACCTCCAAGGGCTGTGTCACCATTATAGGGGGTGGAGACACTGCTACTTGCTGTGCCAAATGGGACACTGAAAACAAGGTCAGCCATGTGAGCACAGGAGGCGGGGCAAGTCTCGAGCTTCTGGAAGGTAAAGTGCTTCCTGGGGTAGAAGCCCTCAGCAACATGTAACTGTCAAAATGTTCGCGTTTCTTGTTTCCTGGATCGCGTGCTGAATCCAGCTTAGCGCGCTTAACACCTGAATTTAACTTCAGTTTATGTCTACTCTGTATCAAGCCCCAGGTAACCAGCGAGCAGTGAGCCATCTGCACAACCCCAGAACATCTTGTTAATTGCCATGCATATGTTACTCTTGTCAAGATCTCATCAGGACTCCCCACTGTACTTCATAGAAAGAAAACAACCCAATGTCAACCTATTAAAGGAGTGAGGTGTGTACGTTGAATGTGCTGTCTTTACTTTAGTTCAACTTGTTTTTCTCTGAATGTGGGAAGTAACAAATCTGCTATAGGTGATGGGGTAAAGGATGGCAAAATGACCCAAATGAACAGAATGTCATTATGCAAATGTAACTAGATAAATACTTAGTAAGCCCAATTGTTTTTAAAGGAAAAAAGTAAAATCCACTGATATCTACACTGATGAAGAAGCTAAAAATCAAATTTGGGGCATGAATAAAAAATTGCTTGAGAAAGCAGGCTATATTTAGTAAGATATAACACTTGAATTCTTTGTTTCTTTTGCTTCCTTTATTGCCTCATGGGTTTTATTTTTTCTCTCTTATTTTTAATTTAAAGTAGAAACAATCTTGGTTTACATATCAACCCCAGTCCCTCTCCGTCCCATGCATCCCCCCCACCAAACCCCTATCCCATCCCCTTTCTGCTTCCCAGGGAGGGTGAGGCCTTCAATGAGGGATCCTCAATGTCTGTCACATCATTCGGAGCAGGGCGTAGGCCCTACCATATGTGTCTAGGTTGAGAGAGGATCCCTCTGTGTGGAATGGGGTCCCAAAATCCATTTGTATACTAGGGATAAAAACTGATCACCTGCCAGAAGCCCCATATACTACCCAGGCCTCCAAAATGGCATCCACCTTCAGGGGGTCTGGATCAGTCCTATACTGGTTTCCCAGCTATCAGTGTGGGGTTCTTGAACTCCGCCTTGTTCAGGTCAGCTGTTTCTGTGGATTTCCCCAGCCTGGTCTACACTTGAATTCTTAAAGTTGGTTTATGAAATAAACAAAAATGAAAGTATTGAGAAAATAAAACTATAAAAAAAACCCTCCCTTTTAAAAACAACAAAATCTGCCGGGCATTGATGGTGCACACCTTTAATCCCAGCATTAGGGAGGCAGAGGCAGGTGGATCTCTGTGAGTTCGAGGCCAGCCTGCTCTCAAGAGCGAGTGCCAGGATAGGCTCCAAAGCTACACAGAGAAACCCTGTTTTGAAAAACAAAAACAAAACAAAAAAAAAAGGAAAAAAACTCTCCAAGTTTTATCAGAAGAATTCATTCTTTAGCAGATTCAGAACCCCTACTCTGGCATTGCTTCCCAAGAGGGTTTTGGTGGTGGACTCCACTTTTAGAATGTGTGTGTCTCTTTGCTCTTGTCTGTTGCTTCAGTTCTGAGGCCATGAGTTCCCTCCCATTCTCTCGATCACTTCGCACATCTAGCCAGATATGTTGCTTCTTCAGTGTGTTTGCCATGTACCTGTAGAGCAGAGAGCAAATCCAGGTCCTTACATCCTCTAGAAAATATTAAAGTCTGGTTTTATTCTTCTTCTATTTTAAATTTTAGATTCTCAGCATTTTTTTTTTACTAAGATGTATTACAGAGGGTGGGATGCTTACAGAATATTATCAGAGATTTTAAATCTTCAAGACTGTTTCTCTGTTTATTGTTGCTAACAATAAATTTCATAAATGGGATTACCTCACACAGAGAAAAGCATCATATTAGTCCAAAATACAGCTCGCCGTTAGAACATTATATTTTCATAGTTTTTGTTAAATGATGTTTCTTGTCATGGGCCTTCGGGCCTGGGCTAAGTCAGTTTTCCCACTTGGAAACAATGTGTATATCCATTTTTGTTCTTGCTTAACAACTACTTGTTCTTGCCCCTCTGTTTCTTTCTTTTTGGTTTCAGTGGCAATCTAAACCACTTGGCTTTGTTAATGTTATGGATCATCTCTTTCTGCCACCCTCTTTAAGTTGTTTTATGATGCTAGCCTGACTTCTCTTCACCATGACACAGATCAGAAACACTGCAAAAGGAAGAGGGGTTTATGTAGGTACAAGTTTGTGGAGTCTTCAACCAAGTCAGTTTGTAATGGTTGAGCAAAAGTGCTTCACCTTCTTGAAGGTACCGGCTCATTCCCTTCCTTCTGTTTTGTCCACTTTTGATGTGTTAGCTTCCGTTTAGTTTTATCATCTTTAGCAGGCTGTTTGTTTGGCTCACATAGTAGCGAAAGTAGCAGGGAACTGGGGGGAGTAGAGGGAGAGAAAATCTTAATCAGAGTATATTATATGAGGAGAAAAATATCTATTTTCAACCAAAGAAAAAAATTAAACAAAAATTAAATAAATCAATAAAAGTTTAATGAATATCTTATTTGGAAAGGAAAAGGAAAACAAAGAGTGCCTGTTTCAGCAGCCTCTTCATTCTACTTTTGCTTCATCCTGATGTCTGTGGTGCCTACAGCCAAGGCAGGTGCTGAGGCTGGACTCTTTCCTAAGTCATTCTATGTTAGTAAAATTGCTTTACAGATTGTACCTTGCCCTTGGTGACACTTTTGGACAACATTCCTGTCTGGCACCATCCAAGGAGCACAGGCCTTAATGACTTCTTCCTAAAATAAGAAAAGGCATTTTATAAGCTCACCAAAGTAGATTGGGAGTGTGTGAATACATGGGCTTTTAAACTGTTTCAGAAGAACTAAGTCCAAGAAGCTACCAGAGTTGACTCAGGAAAATGGAGTACCGTCACCTGAACCCCCACAAAGATGAAACCTAACACTACATTGGGGTGCCTCTCACCATCTATGTGCATCAAGGGACTCAGAGGCAGATAATTCCTGACTCTACTATGGGCTTCAGCTCAGTCTCCATCAATGACATTACCTCCTAGGATTGTTCACATGACTGTCCTTGCATAGACATTTCTATACCTAGAATCTTCAATATGACTCAAGGATGAGGCCAGTTGCAACCCTATGGCCCTGCATCTTGACAATACCAATACTCATAAAAATATGCAGTGATAATGGTGGGTGTGTATTGAGGACTGGGGTTAGATCTAATAGCAAAACATTTAAGAGCAACTTTACAACCATAGTGTCCCATGCTGTACATGGTAGCCTACAGACCTGTAGGATAACAGAAAGTGACAGTGTTTCCCACTTCAAAGCACAGGCAGTATGCAGCCTATGTTATGACCTTGATATACAAGTATTGATTGTAGTCCCACTGCAACAGGATAAATAGTCAGGATCACAAGAGGGAGCCAAAGCACCTTGCTCGTGTGAGCTACCACATCTTTATAAATTTGCTACGTATTGAAGCCATATTCAAAGATTTTACATTTTCCACTTCTACATCAAGGGTGGCATAACACATCCCATTTACATATCCTTCATGGTAACACAACCCATGCAGCTAGTGTATTAAAATAATAATGTTGTAGCAGATCCCCAAGGAGAGGATTTTGCCAGCATTTCACTATTTTTTTCTTACAGCACAGATACAAAACAAGACTTTGGTAAGCTCTTCTAAGCAATTCATGCAGATGACGTGTAGAACAAATTTGCTTACACAAGAGAACATGACTTATCAGGGTGCCTAGAGAACATTTATAATTGCTGACAAAATGAAAGGATTCTGTCCACTTGGTATTTTAAGAACATAGACCAGCCTTGGTCCTCTTAGATAAGTGTGAGACCAGGTTCACACACAAATTACCCAATGAGACTGTAGGGCTTAGAGAAGATTTTCAGTGGCCTCTCACAAAGCAAGACTCTGTTGGAACTGATGAGGAAGTATAATACCTATTTAAAAGACGTCTTTACTGCCTTCAGTGCCCAAATGAAGTTTTATGCCAATCATGGGCATATAGCGGCAGCAGACAGTTTCAGGCTTCATGGCCTCCTCCAGCAAACACATCCTCCTTCCACTGAAATGACTGTCACCTCAGAAAGAATAGAGTGTCCATTGTTACTAAATCCAATTTATTTTGTCAACAAAGCTTGAGATTTTCTGGCTGTAGTGAGGTATCTCCAACATCTTCTAAATTATAAAAACTAGAAGAAGAAAATTTTCCTATTTGTCCTTCTCAATAAGTGAAAATATATAGTCATTCTCCAGTCATACCTGCTTCAGTCCCCTTCCTGTGACTTGTATTAATTACCATTCTCATCAGGAACATGAAAGAAAATCTCATCTCTATTTTAAGCTATTTGTCATTTTATAAAAATGCATCTGAAAATTGTTTTAATATTGAGAAACTATATTGATCTTTTATAGCAAATTCCTTTTCATAAATATGTATTTAAAATAAATACTTGTTCATCATCTGAATTCACCAGTTTGCACATATTCACAACTGTCAATATTTGTTGCTTACCATAGGGGAATTTACTGCTAATCCACACATTAGATTTACTTGATCATTCCTATATTAAATAGTCCACTTATCCCTGTTTGATAAAGAAATTGAAAGGTGTGTGAAAACTCAGACTAGCAACAACAAGTTACTTAACCAATAGATGTATCATTGACCTTCACACTTCAAAGAAGAGAAAAGAGGGGTAGTGTATTTTTAGCACAAAATTCACATGCTTGGATATGGAGAGAAAGCTCAGTAGTTAAGATCACTAGCTGCTCTTGTAGAAGTCCTAGGTTCATTTTCCAACACCTACATGGAAGCTCACAATCAACTGTAACTCCATTCCCACAGGCTATGACACCCTATGTGGCTTCCATGGACAACGACCATGCACATGCTATGTAGACATAAAGGCAGGCAAAACACCCATACACATAAAGTAATTTTTCCTGCATATGAGCATAGTAAATCAGAAGTGAGGTACATACTACATAGAGAGTACATTCAGGGATCAGGGACTCTGACCATTGGGTACTGTGGGTGTGACTACTCAGTGGCCACACTGAGAA